AGGAAGAGACCAAAAGTGGACTCCATAATATAAGAATATTTGAACAAATAGAGCCAGGGATGTAGCTCAGTAGCACAGCACACCTGCTTGGCAAGTGTGAAGTCCTGAGGCCCTAGTATGCAGGAAAAAAAAAAGTAATAATAAAAAAGAATATTTAAACAAAGTTGTTTATAAAAGCTGAAAGGGGCTGGGGAGGTAGCTCAGGGGCACAGCATCACAGCACTGCAAGCGTCATAAATACACCATGCACATGTGCGTGTATACGTGTGCGCGTATATGCTTCTGAAGAGGTGAATTTGGTTACTAGGAAACTTACTTTTTCACCGTACCTGGTCTCCTACTAGGCTCATGTACTACTTTCCCACACTCCGCGAAAGATTCCCCTTACACAATCTGCTTATAATCCTAAAGGAATTATCTGTGCAAACCCACATATCTCCTGACCACTGCACATGCTATGGTTATAGTGACAAGGACAACACATCTACTTTTCACTACCAAGAACAGGGACCAAGGGGTACAGCTCAGTGGTACGGAGCCACGCTGACTTAGTACCTGCAAGGGCCTGGCCTCCACTCCCCAGCACCAAGGAAAAAGAAGTCAGCCTTCAACTATAACATGAAGTCATATTCACAGTTACACGGTGAAACAATCACACGGAAAAAAGCTTGTCTTTATATGAAACAAATAATTTGCCAATACTATTCTCCAAAACTTTATTACACCAGAGGGCAGAATCTATGTGAAAGTGACACTTGCAGTCCAATACTTAGCAGAACAACACAGGAGGATGCAGAGTGTGTGTGTGCGCGCGTGCGCGCGTGTGATAGGGGTGCTCTTCTGCTTGGAAGTACTTTCTGAAGTTACTCCCTAAATCAGGAGTCAACATCTGTATTTGTTTCGCCCAGTATTTGATGAGAGGATTTGGAGGTCGAAGGTTGCTGGTGCTTTTTACAATTCTCCACTGAAAATAATGCCCAAGGCTCGGCCAATACGTGCTTTCCCCCACCCAGCACTAGGAACGAACCCTCAGCGCCTGGAGCTCCAACTTCCCGGAGTAACTTCCCCGCGGTCACTCGAGAAGGCAAGCCAGCAGGGAGCACGGCGTGCCGGCCGGCTCCGTCTCCACCCCGCCTCCCCACGCAAGCAACCCGGAAAATCGAGGCCAGCGCGGCTCAAGGTTACAGGAACTCGACTCACAGCGCGGAGGGGAGCCAGGCTGGCGCCTGTCGTTCGCAGTGGGCCCCTCTCGACCTCCGCGCACCCCGACGCCGAGGCGGCCAGGCGACCGAAGGTGTCCCGGCGGCCGGCGCGACCTCAGCCGCCCCCGAGGCCCCGCTCACGGGCCAGGTCGGCCGACCGTCCCGACGCCGAGCCTCGGGTCCCCCGGTCCGCCAGCCCGGGCGGAAACGCGTCCCCGTGCCTCTGGGTTCCTCACCTGACGTTCTGCGCGGGACTCCGAGCCAGCTTCGCGCTGCATCCCGAAGCTGCCCTCGTAAACACTCTCTGGCCAGCCCGAACTGCCATGACCGTCTCTCAAAAGCCGGCAGCCACCTCAGGCTAGGGTGGCGCCGCGGTACCGCCCTCAGGCGGGCGCCGGCGCCTTGCAGCCAATCGGTGGTCCCCGAGGAGCAGGATACGCCCCTTTCCCGCTCTCCCAGCTCCAGCTGACGTAGGCTCCCAAGGCCGCCGGGCGGACGGCAAACGCCCTGGCCTCCTGCCGGCCAATCACGAGGGCGCAGGGCCCCAGGACACGCCCCTACGCCTGCCGCCCGCTCACGCACTTACGTAACACTCTAGGGGACGCCCCCGTGGCCTCGGGGCTGCTTCCGGTCTCGAGGCCCGACACGTGAGCCCCACCTAGGTGCTAGCTACTCAACGGTCCTGCGCCGGACTGGCCGCGTGTAGCGCGGTGACCTCCGGCCGGTTCACCCCACGGGGGTCAGGCAACGTGAGGCCCGGCCCGGGCGGCGCCTCGTTACCTAACTGCGCCCCGCCCCGCCCCGCCCCGCCCGCGTGTGCGTGGCGGGCTCTCGGCCTTGCTGCGGCCGCGCGGTGCTTTTCAGGAACGCAGTCAGCCGTGCGCGCCGCGCTCCGCCGCCTCGTTCAGCCTGCGCCGCCTCGCGGGCTGCCCGCGGGGACCGGAGCGGCGTCCTCGGGGAGGGGCTGGCCGGGCTGCCCGGCTGCTCCAGTGTGTGGGCCCCCGAAACAGCTGCTTTTCGTAAACCGAGGGTTTTGTTTTTCTCCCGAAATCGAAGAAAAATATTAGAGGCCAAGTGTAGGAGAGTGTTCATTACGCCAGCGAGAATTGCTCTGTGTGGCGAGACCCTGGCGCAAAAAAGAAAGGAATCATTGTCCTTACGTTATTTAAGTCTGTCTCTGCGATTCATACAGATGTATTCAGAAATAAAATGCCTGGCTTGCTTTAAAATAATCTCTGGGAAACAAACTTGATCATCTGCTGATGGCTATTGAACTTGGGTAAGTAGGGAGTTTTCCATAGCCACAGATTTTGCAAATGTTTGACGCCGTCCATAATAAAATATTTTGTATCAGTGTCCTTCACTTTCTGTCTTCAGGATATCTTTCCGTATAAAACCTCCGGATGGACTTACACTCGGTATCTTACTTCGGTTTTTGCTCATTCTTCAAAACCTTAAATGTATAGGGAATGAAACCTGGAAAACTTAAGTGGATAGAGATGGTGCTGACTCTTAGTAGTTTTAATAGTGTGTTTATTTCTTTTTTGCAGGGGGTGCTGGGAATCTGATTCTGGACCTTGTATTTGCCAAGAGAGCGTGGACCACTGAGATATTCCCAGCCACTTTTTTTTTTTTTTTTTTTTTTTGGTTTTTTATGTGTGTGTGTGTGTGTGCGCGCGCGCGCGCTCGCGCGGCCAGCTCAGCCCACCAGGGGGCGGGGCTGGCTGGCATGTGGTGCTGGGGATTGAACCGCGGACCCTGTGCTTTGCTAAGCTTGTTCTAAGTAGGTGCTTTAGACCACTGAGCCATCTCAACAGCCCCACTATTATTATTTTTTTTAATGTTATGTATTTGGTACAGGGTTTTACTATGCAGCTCAGACGCAGTGACCCTGTTTTCAGCCTCCCCAGCACTGGGATTACAGGCATACGCTGCTACACCTGACCTTGATGAGGTGGGGCTGGCCTTACAATTTTTGTCTCCTGTCATTTGCCATGTGTTAAAACAGATTTGGGGAAGAACATGCCTCATGAAAATTTTGGACTCTTGTCAGCCAGAAAGTGAATTAGGGGGCCACCAAGATAGCTCAGCAAACTGAAGTGCCTGCGTAAGTTTAGGCAAGCACAGGGACCACGGTTCAATCCCCAGCACCTTATGTCGCACAGGCTCTGCCCACAGGGCGGGCTCAGCCAGCTAGCGCAGGGGTGTGGTGGTCCACATCTGTAATCCCACCGCTGGGGAGGCTGAAAGCAGAAGGATGAGTATGAGCTGCAAAGAGAGACCCTGCAGCAACCAAATACGTTTTTTTAAAAAAGTCAGTTAGCAATGGATGCTGCTCTTAAATCTCAGGGGAATGGTTTCCCTGGGACAGTCTGGCCTGATTGCTTCCTGCACACATAGAAGGGGACACTGAACCTGCTCTGTTTGTTCCCTTTCTGATTTGCTCCTCAATGTGAGGAAGCTATTTCAGTTCTCAGGGCTTTCACCTTTGGCCTGAAAAACTGATGGCCCTTGGGCCAAGTTTTTCATGAACTGGCCACAAGTGTGATAAGGACCAATCTCATTGCTGAGTCTTCTTCACTCCAACTTTCTCTCAAAGCTATTTCTTTTCTTTCTTAGTGTTTGAAGGCATGTTGTATAAAGACCAGAGACCCAACCTGAGAAAGCTGTTAGTCCCAGTTATCTCTGCAGTTTGTGTAGCAAGGGTTGGGAAAGTAGTGCCAAGCACAGAGAGTTCCTGGCTTCGCCACTCTTCCATCCCAGCTCTATACCCCCCACCCCTGACAATAATGCCTGTTGACTAGTCTTTTGAGGCAGAGCCATTAGAGTACAGATGATTTCTGTTTGTTTGTTTGTTTGTTTTTCTTATGGTGGAACCAGGGAGTGAACTCGGGCCCTTGCGCTTGCCAGGGAAGTGCTTATTCTGTTGAGCCATCTCCCTGGCCCCAAATAGTGAATTTTCTTTCTTTTTCTTTTCTTTTTTTTTTTTTTTTCTGTGCCAGGGATTGAACTCAGGACCCTGCGCTTGAGCACAGATGATTTCACTGATAGAACAGAAAGCAGTTTTTGGACAGTTAGGTGTTTGATGTTAGCTTTACATAAAAACAGGTATTAAGGGAGCTGATAACCACCACTCCTAGTCTTCAGATTGTAGACAGCTAAGTTAGGTAAAACTATTGTAGGCAGGCAGGGCTAGGCCATCCAGGGAGTCAGTGCAGAAGGTGCAACTGGGGTGGGGGGAGCAGGCACACCGTGGAAGGCCAAGCTTCAGATGGGAAGACTGCGCCTAGGAACTTAGAGATAAACAATAATGATTGGGATTATGAGCTACGTAGTAAGACCTGTCTCAAACACACACACACAAATAGGCATCAGTCACCAGGGTGGAGGACCAGGACCTTGACCTCTCCCTTCCAGAAAAGGCTCTTGCTCTTTCCAGGCACGCTTGCTGTATGACTTGCTTCCCTGTTGGAGCACTATTACCTACGCAGCTGTACTTGTAGTCTTACTGGTTGGTCATAGTCTTGTCCCACCTTATACTCACCTTGTGATTCTCGCTCTATAAAGGCGTCCGTGTCAGTGGGGTCTGCAGCAACCCACTAGCCAGGCTGCCTTCTTGTCTCTGTTATACAGATGCTATCTTTGCCTCAAATATATTCTGTTATTTATTTATTTATTTATTTTGTGTGTGTGTGTGGCCAGCTCAGCCCACCAGGGGACGGGGCTGGCTGGCATGTGGTGCTGGGGATTGAACCGCGGTCCCTGTGCTTTTGTTTAGCTTAGCTTGTTCTAAGCAGGTGCTTTAGACCACTGAGCCATCTCACCAGCCCCTATATTCCGTTATTAACCTCTGTTGCTCCTTAGAATTTATTCTTCGACTTTGGGAACACAAACTTGGCATATTGGACATCTAGCAGGTTGAGAGTTACAAGATTCCCCTTCAATTATTTGAAGTCCTGCATCATCCCTATACCAGGAGGACTGCCTCTTTTTTTCCTTTTTTTCCCAGGGCATATTTCCAAGCCAACAAGTGAGTCCTGGACTTAGGACTTAGACATTTAACTGAGGATTAAGAAAGGAAAAGCAAAAAAAAAGAAAAGAAAAAGGAAAAGCCAGAGGGTCACAGGATGTTGAGAAAAGGGGTACAGGGGCCATGAAGAGTTGTTCTCTTCTTTTTAAAAAATTGTGTTTAGTACTGGGTGGACAGGGTCTCCTTAGATCAGACTCAGTGATCCTTCTATTTTCAGTTTCCCAAGTGCTGGGATTAAAGGCTCATGCCACCACGCCTAGTCTATGTTCTCAAGCACCTCCACCTCAATTCCACTGGCCCTGTGAGGTATGCTACAGGTACAAGAACAGAACCAGCAGGGATGGACAGGGACGTCTCTCTCCTTGGTTTTCAGAACGGGAAAACGATGTGGGATTCCACCTTCCCTGCTCCTCAGGATGCATATTTGAAAGCTAGGACTCCTTTGAACTCCAGCTCCCGAGAAGTGTCCATCCAGACTTTCACTGCGGGAGCTGGGGGTGTGGCGCATGCCTCTAATCCTGGCATGTGAGTGGCTGAGGCAGAGGGATTGGCACAAATTTGAGGCCACTTACATAGAAATGAAAAATATTAGGCTGGACAGGTAGATATACATTAAACACAATTTGGTCCAAAGTGATCTTGTGAATAATTTCATGAAAACCTGTCTAAATAAATAAATAAAAGTTAGGTGCTGGGTATGGTGATGCACACCTATAATCCCAACACTCTGGAGATTGAAGCAGGAGGACTGTTGCAAGTTGTAGACCAGCCTGGGCTACATATTGAGTTCAAGGCCAGCCTGCACTACATAGCCAGTCCCTGTCTCAGAAAAATAAAAAAAATAGTATTGATACTGGCCCTAAGCACCCTCCTAGAAAATGGGAAAAGTGGTTGCCAAAGGAAACTAGAAATTGCAACACTACATCTTGAACTGGTCTACCCTTTGGGAATACATTAAAAAGATGTGGCTTTCAAGGGAGCACCCCCCCCCCGTAAAGATTCTAGTACAAACTACCCCCATCAGCCAGAAGGGGACCTGCGCGGTGGTAGCAGCTGCTCCAAAGTTTAAGATAGATCACTGAGAGGGGATCCCCCTTAAAACAAGTCCTTGCTTTCAAGGATATAAAACAGACAAGACCCTAAACCCTGGCTTATGATAAGGAAGCACAACAAACACAGATTCCATCTAGAATTTTTCACTCTTTTCCCTTCTGACTCCTATTGGTTATAAATGTATAAAGTTAACTAACAAAAAACTTAAGATAACTTTTAAATCATTGCAAAAAAAATTGTTATGACTTACACAAAATGTCCTATTTTATGACCCCTAGGAAAAGTTCTGATTGGTCTATTTATAGTTATAAACATAGAACTATAAACTATAATAAATTATTATAATTCAGAATGGATAGACT